GAGTTATACATGTCCTATAAATGTGATTCTAGACTTTTTAGAAAGTTTGGCAAATTCTAAACAACTTTGTTGTAAACACCTAAAGCTAATTATACTATTAAGAAGGCCCCACAATAAGGACAAGGAAATCCCTCTCTGGTTTTGGGCAGAAACAGCCACAGAGATTTAAGCAAGTATAACTCAAGATCTACTTAGCCAAAAATCATGATATTTAACTTTTTGGAAAGCTTAAGAAAAGTACCACAACTCATGTATTTTCACCAAGTCATGATTCATAACTTAACTGAGCCAATTAATTCAAACATGCAGAACTATTCAGAGTAGAAGCAAAGCAATACAGGGCATTTATTATTTTTATAACTCTTAAAATATAAATCCTAAACTCCTGAAATTTTTACCAGACAACAACAATCACCTTAGTACCACTCCAAAAAATTTCACATTTATTTGAGCACAAAAGTTGTAGTTATGAAAAAGACAAGACATGGCAAGTAACACGAACCTAGCTGCATAGATCTATTTTTACAGAAAAATGTTTAAACTAAAACATGCCCTATTATAGATCTAGTGCATAGAGAATTTCATAAGGATTCCATAAAGTCCTTATTTACTATTTTACGATTTTTCTACAAATTACTACGAATTTTCAAAGTGGAGCATTCAAATCTGCCAAAATCAAAAGAAAAGGAATCTAAATCTTGCACTGGGGTCCCTGCAGAAAACATATATTAAATACGAACAAATGAATCCTTTCTGGCACTATTCACAAGAGTCACTGTCTATTCACTTAACCCCTTGGAGAACATCATATTCATGCGCGTGATCCTTGGCCTCTTTTCATTCGGCCGGAAGCAGGACACCTTGCCGGAGCTCGTGATTCCGCATGTGGTCGTCGCCGTGTCGGATAAGTTGCGTGGAGCTCCCATGGGCCTTCCTGCAGTGTAGCCACTCGTTAGGCGGAGGCAGGCAAGTTGGCTGGTCAATGCATGCACAAAGGCAACGCCGGTGGCGCCTCCCGGTGGGGACGGCGATACGGCGGCCGCGGTGACCGAAAAAGGGGCGCAGGAGGGGCGTCGTGATGCGACGGATGCGTAGCGACACTCGGTGCAGGCGCAGGAGGGCTGTAGGAGAGGGAGCAGCGGTGGCACGGGAGCTTCGGCGGCGCCATGGTGGGCGCGAATTCGAAGGCCAAGACCGCAGAGCGAGAGCGCAAAGGAAGGGCCAGGGAGTGAGGGTGAGTCGCCTCTGGTGCTCCATTACATCGAGTGAGGAGGCGCGGGCACGCGGCAGAGAGCAAGCGCATGGCGCGTCACGTCCACAACACGCGCGCTCATCGAGACAAAACTCCGAGCAGTGGCGGCGCGACGGTGAGGCGGCGGGGAGCCGACTTCGGCCGCCTCGGGTGCGATTGGACATTGGGCCTAAAACGAAGTTTGAAGCCCGCGAACTACTATTCATTTTTCATTTAGAGACCAAGGTCATTAGAGCTCTTCAACAGCGGGTAATTAAGCCACAAACTGCTAGTGTCAACACCTTGATAACGGTCACGGAAATTCACTTTCGGAGGTCAAAACTCGGTCAAACTCAGTGCAACTTTTTGCATGCTCTTCTCCATAATATAACCTTCAACTTTTATTTTTGGACCAACTCAAGTTGCTTAACGAATTTCGGAGAACGCGGAATGCCAACGTCGTTGCTTAGCGAAACTCCAGACTTAGAATATTTCTAAGTGCTGAAAACAACAGCAAATTCGATCTTGTGACCTCGATTTGACTTACTTCCAAGCTGATCTAGCTCTTAGTCCAAAAACAAAGTTTGTTCTACATGATATGGACTACAACTTTCATTTAAGGTCCAACCTCAAAACTGGTATAGAACCTGCCGTTCTACTTTGACCAAAGTAGGATCACGATGAAGCTTAAATTATCCTTTTTGATCCATTGGAGCATTTTCTTGGCATTTGCCCAACATGAACCTTTCATGACTTTTGTTGTAGAGTTCATCTAGAGTCATTTTGGCAAGGTTGCAAGGTTTGGTTGACATCTCATGTTCTCATTCACTTAATAGTGCAATTCAAGCACTTAGTAAAATTATTCCAACAAGGATATAACTTATCATTTCATGTGAATTTTTGATTCCAAACTTCACAAAACTTTTCCATGGATCAATATAGATGGGTATTGATGTGAGACACATGAAGATATTCCAATAACACCAGCCAAGCATATATCTTGAAAAGGGCCTATATGTAAAGCAAGGGTGCAATATCCAAGTTTAGGTTGGGGGGCTCATTTCCATAGGTTTGACCTTGACATCTTCATCATCACTTAATATGCCATGTTTAAGCTCAAACCCATTGCTTAACTGGTGGCAAACACCTGGGGTGTTACAGAACGGGCGCGGTGGAGGTAGTGACGCTGGCACGATCGCCATAGGTGGCAGCACCGAGCTGGGAGGCGTGACAGTTGGTGGAGGAGAACGAATCGTGGGTGGAATAGCCTCTTGGGCCACCTTGATGGTGGCGTGACACGGCCAGCGCCCTAAGATGTCCGGGTGATGGGGACTGGGGGATGGTGTGAAGTGCTGAAGGCACAAAGCCTTGAAGACGTCCCAGGTGAAGGCGCCCACATGCCCGGCATCTTCTTCCACCCTATAGTACCACCGTTGGGCGACCCCATCTAGATGGAAGGAAGCCAGCGATCCTTGTCGCAGTCCATGGTTCGCTTGTAGGTGGAAAAAATGGTCGCACTAGTGTAGCCAGCCCATGGGATCTTTGGCGCCATCAAACGTGGGGAAGGAGAGCTTGAGGACCCCTAGGACACCGGTGTCGATGGGCATCGAGTTGGCGTAGGACTGGGTGGTGGCACCGGGCTGGAGGCAATGAACGACGAAATCAACGCTGGAGTGTGGGGAAACAGAGACGAACTGCTGCCCGCCGTGTGTGGCGAGTGCGGAAAAGCGATCTGTGTGATTGGTATGGGCAGGGATGGAATTGCCGACTGAGTGACCGCCGGATGGGTGGCCACCGGCTGGGTGATCGCAAGATGGGTGGTGAGGAACTCCGAAAGGCCAGCGGAAGGACCAGTGGCCGGAAATGGCGGAACGCCACCTATGCCGAAGTGGAGGAGCGGTGGAACGGGCGCGGCCGGCCGGTTCTTGACGTCGGCGATGCGGTGGGCCAGCTCATCCATCTGGCGCTGCAAGCCATAAATGGTCGTGGTGAGCACGGTGAGCGCATCGGTGGGAACTTGGGTAAGTAGGGGTTGGGAGATTGGGAGCGGCGCAGTGGGAGCGATGACAGCAGGGGTGGTCACGGGCATAGATAGGGTCGAGAGGGTGCTAGCGGCGGTGGTGGTGGAGGTGGAAACGACTACGGCGGCGGAAGTGTTGGAGGACAGGGCCGGAACAGCCCACGCAGGAGCAATGGTCAGCGAGGTGGGGGTGACGGCAGCTGTGGAGGCGGTGATGATGGTGGACGCGGCGGCGGCGGAAGCGGGAGCAAGCTCGGATCCTGGCATAGCCGATACCAGATGTTGTAGCTGCTAGGAGAAGAGAGAGAGAGACTGGTGAGCGAGAGTGGAGCGGAGGTGAGGCAGCGATGCCGTGCTCGACGTCGCCCAGAGAGATTGATCTCAATCTCCGGCTGATCTCTATTAGCTTTAGTGTTCAATACTTATAGTTGAATCCTAACAAACTGACTGCTAATTGAAAGGTATACAAAAGCTCCTAAACAATAGGATCCTAACAACTGACTCTAAGTCGCCGGTAGCTCCTGGCGATCACGCTCTTTTTTTTTCACGCTCCCGCACGTCGCGGCTTGGCCCGCTTCCAGCCACGGGTCCGCCCGTTAGGCATGCAAGCGGGCCGCTCTGCAGACGTCCTGCAAGCCGCTGCACTGGCCGCAACGCTAATTTGCAGACTTTGCGGGCGTCCACCAACTCAAGCGTGCTGGCCGCAAAATGCCCACTGGGCTTGGCGGCGAAACCAGCTAGGCCTACCAGGACCCGCAAGCATGAAGAAGAAGCAGACACATGTGGAATTAAGCCTGTCTCGTGGCTTCATGGGTGAGCTCGACACCGGGCTCGGCGAGGCGAGCGTAGATCCCGGCGTCGAGGTGCAACCGTGCGGGTACCTGAGGACGCATGAATCGACCGCACGTGCGACGCGGCTTGCGAGTGGCTAGCTGATGACGATGCTGCCGCTGCCATAGGCCAGGGAGAAGCCGTGCCATGCGTTTTGCGCCGCGGAGTCGGAGCGCGCGCCGAGATACCAGTGCTCGCGGGGGTCGTACTTGCGGAGCGTGCAGAGCAGGTTCGGGATGACGAACGCGGTGCGGCGGTGAGAAGCGGTGACCATCCTCCTCCTGCTTGAGCGCGGAGACGAGCTCCCCGGCGATGCGCGCGACATGGGCGGCCAAGGGCCGAGGGGAGGCCGCGCAGGTGCGTGTAGGGGAAGCGTGACGCGTCCGCCGAGACGCGGAGAGCGAGGCCGGGCGAGAGGTCGTCGCGGCGTCCAGTGTCGAAGCATCGAGGAAGAGGAGTTGCAGTTCCTAGTAGGTCTTTGCAGGCCTTGCGAACGTCCGCTGGGCTTTTGCGGGTTGGCCTGCTTCAAACCGCAATAGCATAGCAGGCCATCTGCTTTGTCCAAAAGGGGATTTTTGCGGGGCGGGCAAAGCGGGCTTGCGGGCAGGTCCGTGCGGCTTGCATCCTGACCAACCGTTGACCATAACAGTTGATTTGAATATGGATACATACCTGGGCATTTTTTCCGTCTATATATGATTTATATATTAGAAAAGAAATAAAAAAAATAAATAAAGGGAAGAGAAAAGAAAGAAAGAAAAGCAGGCGAGTCCAACGTGCAAGGAGACGAAGACAGAGAGGAGGGGAGGTGAGCCCCCGCCGCGCCGCTCGAAATCTCCAAACGCCCAAACAAACCCCTAGGCAAGAAAGATCAAAAAATCAGATCAGATCTCTCCACCCCCAACCCCCAGCCCATCCATGGCGATCGTGTACGCCCTGGTGGCGCGCGGCACGGTGGTGCTGGCCGAGTTCGCCGCCGTCTCGGGCAACGCCGGCGCCGTGGCCCGCCGGATCCTCGAGAAGCTGCCGCCCGACGCCGAGTCCAGGCTGTGCTTCGCGCAGGACCGATACATCTTCCACGTCCTCCGATCCGACGCCGCCGGCATCACCTTCCTCTGTATGGCCAACGACACCTTCGGAAGTAACTACCCTCCCTTCCTTCCTTCCTCTCAATTCGTTCGTTCGTTCACAATTCACATACATACATATCTGGACTTTCTGTCCTATATATGCTTCGGTCTTAGCTGCTACTGATTGCTAGTACTCCAGTTGGTTGATTACACTTTGTTCTGCGTTCCTTGAGTTATCGATTTCCCTGCTTGCTGGCGTAATCATCCCATCTAGTCTAGTACAACTCGGCACTCCCGGCCAGTTCTTTGCCTTTCCTGATCTGATTGGACCTCCTGTGCTGAACAATACTACAGCTCATCTGTTCTGTCCGTTTTCTTTCGTGATGCAGGAAGAATCCCCTTTCTCTACCTGGAGGATATCCAAATGAGGTTCATGAAAAACTACGGCAGAGTCGCCCACTCTGCGCTGGCTTACGCCATGAACGATGAGTTCTCCAGAGTGCTCCATCAGCAAATGGAGTTCTTCTCCAGCAATCCAAGCACCGACACACTCAACCGTCTCCGCGGAGAAGTCAGTGAGGCACGTACCTTCTCATCAAACTAAGTAAATGTTTGTTCCCCCAATGGTATCCTTTAGGGGTTCAGGGTGCTCAACTCATCATCTCTCTGGTATGGTATTCAACTCAACCTCCTGCAGATACACACCGTCATGGTCGATAACATAGAGAAAATTCTTGACAGAGGTGATCGCATCTCGCTCCTTGTGGACAAGACATCCACCATGCAAGACAGCGCCTTCCACTTCCGCAAGCAATCCAAGAGGCTCCGCAGAGCTCTTTGGATGAAGAATGCCAAGCTTCTGTGAGTGCTGCTATTACCTTTTCCATCTTTCATCCATACTTGTGCTGTCTCTTCCTTATATGAATATATATTGAAGACACTATAGGTCAATCATTTATTGGTTATCTTATTTACTTCACACAGCTTAGCTGTCCTCTCCTGGCGTCTCTACCAGTGTTGTAGCAACCTTCTTCATCCATAACCTAGATTACCAGTGCAGCAGTGCTGCTCCCCCCTTTTCAAAAACATGACAAAAATATGCTGCCTTTTCTACTGCTTCCCTGCTATTTGCATTTTTACCATTCATTTTCTTGTTGGCAATTCACTGGTCAGTTCCAGAGAAAAATAACTTATGTAGTGATGTCTGTACACATCCATATGTACTTCTTTAGGGGTGTGGGTTAAAATAACAGTGATGGGTGACTGACTTGTAAATTGTGTATAGGCTCGTGTATTGGTATGTAACTATATAACTTGGTTTGGTATCCTGCTTGAAAACAAACTGTAATTACAGTTCTTGCCTAAACCTATAGCAATCGTTAACTGCAGGTGCTACTAACTCCTGTTTAGTTGCTTTCCTGAAAATTTTCTATAAAAAAATGCTGTATTCTTATGGTAACCCTTTTTTTTTTTTGCAGAGTTATGTTGACAGTTGTCATAGTAGTGCTGCTCTACTTGATCATTTCTGCTTTCTGTGGAGGCCTTTCCCTATCATCATGCAGATCATGAATAACACACCAGATGGCTGGCGCTCCCTTGACTGGTGGAGGGTAAAATACCATGGAATGATGCCTGCTGTGTTGAGCACCTGAGCTTGCAGAGGCAGAAAAGATAGATGTTTTGAGGAGGACACCTCCACTGTGGTTTTCAGTAAGAGCGACTTTGCCCTTTTGTGCTGACATGAGTTAGTCGTGCAACACTGGGATCAGCGTGTACAGTACGTGGATTGTTGTTTAAGGTGTGGAGTTGGTAGTTGCTGTGGTCAATGGTTTTTTATGTTGCCATGGTTGTGGATGAATCTTAAATCTTCGTGTACTTATTATGCTTTTTGGCCTATCAAACTGTCATTGTGCTTTGTGAGGGCTGGGAATGAGTTGGGTGTGTAGAGTTACTTGGTTAATGTGTATAAACATATATGCATGCCGCAATGAGTTACATACTTACTATGTTTAGCAGTGTATGACAATTACACACGAAAACGGATTGTGTCTCAGCGATGAGCTTGCCATGGATGTGGGGAAAACTGCAGCTATGTGTGCTTGGAATTGTTGAAACTGCGAATTGCACAGGCTTTAGCAGTATATGACAATTACACGCGAAAACGGATTGTGTCTCAGCGATGACGATGAGCTTGCCATGGATGTGGGGAAAACTGCAACAGTGCTTGCAATTGTTGAAGCTGCGAATTGCACAGGCCTGTGATGTGTTTTCTTTGCTCGCTTGAAAAGATGCTAGAGGCCTTGAACCACGAATTCAGAAACTGTTGCCTTTCGTAGAAGGACGTACCGTCAATTACATTAGTTATACCTAATCTATGTGGCAGTGCGAAATGTGTTGGTGATACTTTCACCAAATCTTGGTGATGTATGTGTAATACAAACAAGCTATCGCATTGGGTGTGTTTTCAAGGAACTGCCCTTGATGATGAATAAAAGCATGTAAAGCAGAGGATGTCAACGATGGGCAGCACCGCAGCAGAGACGTGGAGTTGCAGGGAGAGAGCAGTTAGAAGGAGGCGCAGGCGCAGGCGCAATGAATGATTCGCAACCACTCCGGCGACGGCGACGGCGAGGCAAAGCATCCCGCATCCAGCAATGCATGCAATTCCAATTCCATTTCCATGTACTTGTTCCATGATGTGATCCCCATTTGTGCCTCGAACAACTCCTCTCTTCCGCTTCTCCATCTGTTCTATTAGCCTATTAGTATATATATTTGGTTGCTCTTGCAATCTCATGGCGTGCGTGCATTGCAATAAGCAGCAGTGAAGCAATTGGATTGAGGCACCCATTTCCCAACCCACGACACAAGCATGACAAGCGAGTCCGCCACCGTGATCCAGATGGACGACGGCAGGGCCCCGGTTGTCGCAGCAGCAGCACCACCAGCACCAGGAGCCACCGCCGCCGCGTCGTCGTCCTACGCCACTGCTCCAACAAGTAGCAGTGCTGCTGAACCGGCAGCGGCGCCGCGCAAGACGAGCACCGGTGGCGGTGGGCTCCCGTTCCTGCTGCGCTCCGGTGCCGGGGGGTTCCGGCGCTGCCTGGCCGTGATCGACTTCCTGCTGAGGGTGGCCGCGTTCGGCCCCACGCTGGCTGCCGCCATCTCCACGGGCACCGCCGACGAGAGGCTGTCCGTGTTCACCAACTTCTTCCAGTTCCACGCGAGGTTCGACGACTTCCCGGCCTTCACCTTCTTCCTCGTGGCCAACGCCGTCGCCGCGGGGTACCTGGTGCTCTCGCTGCCATTCTCCGTCGTGGGCATCCTCCGGCCCAACAAGGCCACGGGCGTCAGGCTGCTCCTGCTCATCTGCGACGTGGTGATCATGGCGCTGCTCACGGCGGCCGCCGCCGCCGCCGCGGCCATCGTGTACGTGGCGCACTCGGGCAACCGGCGCGCCAACTGGGTGCCCATCTGCTTTCAGTTCCATGGCTTCTGCCAGCGCACCAGCGGCTCCGTCGTCGCCACCTTCCTCGCCGTGCTCGTCTTCATCGTGCTCATCCTCATGGCCGCCTGCGCCATCAGACGCAGGCCCAGCTAGGAATGCTTTCGGTGCATTGCATCCATGGCGATTCCGATCCTTTGCTTGCCCTTCCTTAATTTCCATCATCCATCAGTCATCACTGTGCTCGCTCGTTTGCTCTGTCGTACTGTACGTGATAGTGTTACATCACATCATGTGTGCAAATCTGAAAAGCTCACTTGTGTAATCACCAATGTAACTTCTGCAAATTAACCAGCTGTCGACCTGTCGTTCACTCGTTTTACTGCATGACAAATATAATACGACGCATGGATCAACAAATGATCTAATCATTGATGTGTAAAAGACGAATCAAGCGGGTGGTGAAGGTGCTGCAGCAGTAGCGAAGGACGCCTTGCGGTAGTATGCCATCCCCCTGATGCCATCGGGGTCCATGGCGAAGTCGAGCAGTCGGTAGAACCCGACGACGCGCGTCTCGGCGTAGAGCACGATGTTGGCCACGCCGTCGCGCCGGAGCTCGTCGACAAGGCGCTCCATAACGGCGCGGCCCAGCCCGAGGCCCTGGCACGACGGCTCCACCACCACGTCCCACACCACGGCGTTGAACACGCCGTCCCCGGCCGCGCGCGCGAACGCCACGGGCCGACCTTCCTCCCCGGCCGCCGACAGCCACACCACGCGGCTGTGCTCCAGCGCGCGCCGCAACCGCTCCTCCTGACGCCGCGGGAACCCCACGCGCGCGAAGACCTCGTTCAGCGCCACCACGTCGATGCCCTCCGCCGTGCGCCGCACCGCGAACCCGCGAGACTCCAGCTCCGCGTCCGACACCGTCAGCCGCACGCCACCGGCGGGGGTGGCGGCACGAGGCGGACGCAGCAGCAGCCGCCGGGAGGACGACCAGGATATCGTCGTCGTCGTCGATGCCGCCGTTGCTGCTGCTGCATACTGAGGCGGTCGCAACAGTAGAAACCGCCGCGATTTCAATGCTGCCGCAGCAGAAGCCGCACCTGGCCATGGTTGCTGCTGCATCTGCGTTAGCATGGCGAGGAGCAGCTGATTGATGATTTGATTGGTCAGCTAGAAGGAGATGGAGGAGATGCAGCAAACTCGGTTGGATTCTTCTGCTCCATCCCAGTGGCCATGGATCACCTGCTTATCCGTCCTATCCTTCGCCGCCTCAGCCACCCATTAGCCCAATTTCCTTCATCCTCTTATCTATTAGCCGTTGGATCTAAAATGAAGGGCGGTGAATTCAATCAGGACTATAGTTGTCCAAACGGGCCAGGCCTGCTGGGCCGACACGGGCCCGGTGCGAAAAAGCACGGCCCTGGCCCGGTGCGGCACGGCAGGCCACGTGCCCGTGCCTGGGCCGCCACACCGGCCCGGGCACGGCACGGAAATTAGGCCGGCACGATGCGGCCCGATAATTCCTAGCCATTGGATGATTCAGGGGATTTCGTAGCCATCGGATGAGAGTATATATGTTGACCAAAACCCTAACTCCCAATTCCCAAATCACTTCCCGTAGCCTTCTCCCCGTGGCCGTCATCTCCTGTCCTCCCCATGCTCGACTCCTCCTCCTGCCCCGGTGGTCCCCATGGCGGCTCCTCCTCCTCCTGTACTCCCCATGGCGGCTCCTCCTTCTCCTCCCGTACTCCCCATGGTGGCTCGACGGCGTGGCAACCTCGTCGCGGCGGCGCGAACTCCCTTCTCCAGTACTCCCATGGCCGCTCGACCAGGGGCACATCCGTGCGGGATCTACAGCGGCGGCGCAGCAACGACGAGCCTAGGCGCGGCAACGACTGCACGGAGGCGGCGCCGTGCTGCTGCTGCTCCACGGTGCGACAGCGGCGCTCCACAACGTGCGGCTGCTGTTCGACGGCGCGGAGGCGGTGCTCGAGCTGGCACGGTGGGTTGACGTGCCCATCGGCACGGCACAGCACTGCTAAGAGGCCATAGTGCCGTGCCTGGGCCAAGACGGCGGCACGGCGGCACTATCAGGCACGGCACGACTATGCTGCCGTGCCGCATAGTATCGTGCCTGGTCGTGCCCGTGCCAGTGCCGTGCCGTGCGGCCCGTTTGGACAACTATAATCAGGACCTGTTGAATGAAAACATAATGTACGTCTATGCAGCAACTGAGTAATCTAAGGACAATTGTTACACGATTTTTTTTTTGCCTTAGATGTAAAATATTTAAATCTATCTCTTTCCACTTCATCTTCTTCCCTTCTACTTTCTCTGCCGGCACCAACACTCTACCCCACCATCTTTGCCTTTCTATCCAACTCCGGCAGTTCCTCCACCATGGACTAGCCTTAAATTCATCGGGTATGCCTCCTTCTCTTTGGTCTCTTCATCTCCAGTCGAGCTCCCCCACTGCAATTGCCTCTTGCCTCACTCCTATGGTGCCCCATCGCCTTTGGCCGATGCCACGCTATCCCAGTGGAGGCGGCAGGCTATCTCTGTCACACCTCCACCCTTGCCCCGTCCAATTGCCTTCCCTCACAGCTCGACCGGCAGCGCCACTGCCGCCTTACCCCATGCCGCCCCGCGCTCGCCACCATCGTTGAACTGGCCTTCTCCCCCCAACAATCCTTTTTTAAGTCCATCTGATTCATATAAGCTCCCAAATCCCTAACCCTAACCTTACCGGAGTTGGGGAAGAAGACTACATGACATTCTTGGATTGCCTAGAAAATTCAAGTGAGAGTAGGCCTTAGTGATGTTTAGCTTTACTCAAACATAAACACTTAGACTCCGTTTGACACAACTCAGCTTTAATAGTGTAGCTATTTTTAGTTTCAGATTCACGAGCAACTTTACTAGTGAAGCTTCATAAGTAGCTATTTTCAGGAAAAAACATGATGGAAGCTTCACGGGCAACTTTACCGGCTTTACTCAAACATAAACCCTGCTCTACACGCTAATGCTCGTGTCGCCTCCTGTCTGGCCATGCCCATGCCCTAAACCCTAAACCCTGATGCCCGGGCCTCACGACCACGGTCCCGGCCCGATAGTCCCTACCCCTAACTTTACCAGCTTTTCAATGATTATTTTAGCTAGTACTTCTTAGAGATTGAATTAAAGGCACGAATGTTGATCTCACCAGAATGACTGAAAAGCCTTATGGTAAATCAAGCAACCAATAATCGAATATCAATTTTCTCATTGCAGGAGACAACACACAAATTCAGACTAACATATGATAATAAAATGGCGGCATCGGAACTGAATTAAGAATTGGCAGGGGCAATATCACAATATAGTATGGATATCACTGGTAAACTTTTCATGTCTAAGTCAAACGAGGACAAGACACGAAGTTCTCTAAACTAAAGGGAGTCCTCTCTCTCTCTCTCTCTCTCTCTCTCTCTCTCTCTCTCTCTCAAAAGGGATCAAAAGTTTTTCAGAGCATGCAACCATGCATACATATGGACGGGGAGTCAAAAGCGACCCAGTATTATTCAGAAAACTGCGACGACAGTATCGTCGCCATGGCTAGAATTGTGGCACCTGGTTTTGTGCTTGACTATTCCAAGATTCACTACTTTTTCGTTGAAGCCATGGGCAAGCACCTCTACACCAGTCAGCACAGTAGCCTTATTCTGGTAACAACGGATTAATTCATCATCGCCAGAGCCAGTAGCACTGGGTGTCCCCGTGCCGGTCCCAGTACGTCTCGGTGTGTAAGAAGAACCTTGTAATGCAGAACCTGCCGGAGCCAAGGTTGACAAGCTGAGGGTCCTGTGTCTGCTGCCATCCTTCTTCTTGTAGTACCAGGTGGCTCAAGCTCTTGCCACGAGTCAAGAAGCTGTGGCTGCTGGGAGTCCTCCATGGCCATGGTTGAGGAGAGGTCAGCAGCAGCAAAGTGTCCGTCCTTAGCAGAGAAGCCAAACCAGAGGTTGAGCTCGGGCACATACTCAACCTTGCCTTGGAAGGGTAGAGTCCACTTGCCCACTTCAGCCCACTCGTAGCTCGCCGTGTCCAAGCGATAGGTACCAACACCGTCGACGGATATGCAGATGTGAGAGCCACCTGATCTGTCGTCTTTGACCACAGCATAAGAGCTGATCTCTAGGCTGCTGGTGTTGTCTTCACGGGCACGGTGGACGTATGGCAGCGGCGGCGGCGGGAGGGGATCACAGTTCCAGCTACTGCATGGTAAAACACATGTAGTTGGGATTGCGATAGACTAAGGCCTCGAATGAGTGACGACAAGAGGAGGCAGCTTCCTCCTCCTCCGGTTTGCTGGCAATAATCCTGTCCATGATAAAAAAAAAGGTTCCACCACCACCACCAGTAGCAGCAGCAGCGAGGTCATCATCCAGCTGCAGCAGATGAGGGTCGTCAAGCTTCGCAGTGCAATCCGGGTCCGGGATGTAGAGGGAGATGGGTTCCAGCTTGGGATGGAGAGGAGGCATCATCACAATGCGGGGCCGGGACGTGTCTGCCTCCATGAGCAGGCTGCGCCCCGACGACTTATCCAGGCACAAGACTCGGCGATCTGCGGGAGCCGAGCAGCAGTGCATCCTCCCTTGCCCACTTGATGCTCGCATGCTGAAGCTTGAGCTAGGCCGAGGAGTAGCGAAGGGGCAACATCTTCTTCTCCGTCTTGAAGTCCTGCTTCTTCTTCTTGTTCTTCAGTCCACCAGTGGTTGGTGCCTTGGTGGTGGTGGTTTTGTGTTGAAGAACTTGTGGCGCGCCAGGTCGATGCAGCGCAGCGTTTGGACGCCGGCGCTGCGGTTCTCCACTATCGCATTCAGAAACCGACGCGAGACGCCGCTCATCGTCGTCGATTCGGAATATCCGATCGATCGTCAGCTGAAAATCGAAGACATGCATGTTTTGAAATACAAGAAATCGATCGATCGTAAGTCGTAACAAAGAAAGGAAGATGCCGGTCGGCCTGTCCTGGGTCCTGAGTCCTGACCTGAGGGTCGAGGTGAAGCGAATGGCGGCGGGGCGGAACTTGCTTCGCCGGCCAGATCGGAGCACAATGGCGGCGCGATTGGAATTAGATAACACCCCGAGCAGTCAGAAATCACAAAAATTGA